TTTGAGTATTTGGGACATGTGTAGGAACCATAGACGCGTATCAATTCCCAAAAAAAAATTCAAAGAACCTAGGGACTACCCGTAGGCGCAGTGAAATTCCAATTTTGGCTTTGAATCAGGTAATGACCCCTCACCCTATTTCCTATCACAGGATTAAAGTGTAATAAATGATAAAACTGTATTTGTACGAATTAAATCGATGTACATAATTATTATGGTTGCTAATGGAGCCCGAATCGGACGTATTTTTCTGTCAATTCCTATTTGCTTTATTTTACAATTTTAAATGCATTATGGTACGGTTTTATTTATTCTGTGGCTTTGAATGCATGAATCATTGCTTACTTTATTTCGGCTTGATTTCGTGAATCTAATAGTATGCTTGCCTTGTTGAGTACTCGTTAATTGTTTAAGTATTCATGTTTATGTGGAAAACGGAAAACTAAGAAAAAAATAGAAAATATATGTGAATTGATAAATGGATAAGTTGACAGTCTCATTATATATCCTGAAAGATGGTGGACAGACTGGGTCCATAGAGAACTCTACCGAAAACATTGTCTCATATCAGACGGGGTATGGAGACTTTACATATTTTGGCACTCATACCGGACGGAGTATGGAAACGACCCGTTTCACCCTCGTACCGGACGGGGTATCGATGTTTTATTATTTGGCACCCATACCAGACGGGGTATGGAGACGACCCTGAAAATTAAGTTTGTTAAAGGAATTGTTCACGTGTAGCAGGACCCCTATGGATCCCCACGGATAATAGTAGGGTGATAAAAAGAGGATAACTGTTATTTGATAATTGAAATGTAAAATTATGACATGTACTATGATACAGGTTATGTATGAATTCATGATATTTATGATGTTATTATTTCCATGGGTCGTTTTTATAAATCCCACTTAGGTAAGTAGACGGTAAATGATTTAATTGTTAATAAATGGATTTATTGAAAATTTGTGCTCCATTGGTTGTTTTTTATTTTCTACCAACCTTTACTTCTGTGATAATGAAATAGTGTGATGTCTTTAATGAGTTAGTATAACTCATCCTTACTTAACCATTTCAGATCAGGAAGACTTAGTTCTCGAGTTCGATCTATAAGAAGACGGCAAGTAGATACCTAAATGTTATATAATTTCCTTTATAGTCTTTCATTTCTAATATTTCTTTTAGATGACTTATTTTTCTGATATTATTAGTACGTTTAAATTATTGTGTAAGGAATATTAATCAGAACATTTTATTTTGCTTCCGCATTCATATTCTTTATATACATTTTTTTTTTTAAATTTCGAGGTCATTACACCTACAACAATTATTTTTAATTGAAAAGATCAAGAAACCGTCATGCCACCAAATTAGCTCCTAGTTTTAAAGCCACATACAGAAATAGGTTTCATTGAATTAAAAGCTCAACACACGTTCTTTTAGAACTAGATCAAGGGACATTTTTTAAGAGATAGAATTATCCAAAGGACCGGCAAAATCTTACATTGCCCAAAAAATTGAGGAACATTTGCTCAAACACCAACAAACAAATTTATTTTGAAAAAATAAAGACACTCGCTTTCAAAAAAATTAATTGAAGTCTTTTACTTTCCGAGCGTGGGACATCAAATGATACATTTCATTCCAAAAGATCAAGAAATTCAAACCTTCAAAACATATCTTATATATCTTACATAAACTGAATATGACAGTTCCACATAAACTGAATATGACAGTTCCCGCAATCGAGCATACAGATATGGTGTCGTCACTATATCCTCTACTTTTACGGTCACACACAGAAACATATTTCTCTTGAATCAAAAGCTCAACACTTGTTTCTCCAAAAACTGGAACTATACAAGGGGCTGGAGCAGATTTACATTGCCCCAAGAAATCGAAATCTATTTTCTCGTGCATCGAGTCACATTTATCTTTAAATAATTCATAAAAACTGTTTTCAGATTCGAAACTATAAATAATTCATAAAAACTATTTTCAGATTCGAAACTATAAAATTGAGTCTCATTTACTTTTCAATACTATATCAAGATTATCAATGTGACTTCAAGATGAAGAGCAGCAACCTTCCTCACATTAAACTACCGAACAGATATAAGGAATTTTACTTCCTCCAAAGAAATCGAAAAGTTTTTTCTAAACACAGACGTAAATTTATTATTAAATAATAAATCAATTTCCTCTCACTTTCAATAAAATAAATTAAAGCACTTTTACCGAGGAACAAAAGCAAATCTAGCTTCCTGATGTCGTTTCAA